GCTTTATTTGCAGGCTTATGCAATGTATGATCATAGAAACATAGAATGTGACGGCAGATAAGAACCATTCGGCCCATCTAGTCTGCCCAATTTTCTAAATACTTTCACTAGTCCCTAGCCTTATCTTATAGTTAGGATTGCCTTATGTCTATCCCACACATGCTTAAACTCCTTCACTGTGTTAACCTCTACCACTTCAGCTGGAAGGCTATTCCATGCATCCACTACCCTCTCAGTAAAGTAATACTTCCTGATATTTTTAAACCTTTGTCCCTCTAATTTAAGACTATGTCCTTTCGTTGTGGTAGTTTTTCTTCTTTTAAATATAGTCTCCTCCTTTACTGTGTTGATTCCCTTTATGTATTTAAATGTTTCTTTCTTATCCCCCTTTCCTCCAAGCTATCATATAATGTGACATATAAATACATTTAAACAAAGAAGATGGATCCACCAGGCAAGAAGTGCAATCCTAAATGTAGGAGACTGAATGTAGTGTAGACAATGAAAACAGTGTGAAACATGAGGTGCACTTTACTGAACATCAGTGGTACTCAACCTATTTGATCAGTGGAAATTATTTTAATACTGAAGATGTCATCATGTCCGTAGGATACATCTGAGAAGCTATGTTCAATGAGCATGATTGCTGCTCTGACACTGCTGTCTCAGGTATTCACTAAATCACTAGATTATGGCATTGTCCTTTACCATTGTTCTGGTGATGACCTTCACGTTTGAATCTTCAGATGTCACATTTCACACCATGAAAGTGTTCAGCATTATTGTGCTAATACTAGTATAGATGTTATTGACCTATGTCTGGGTTTATACCCCGTTACAAAGGTTGTGAAATGGAGATTGACTAAAGACTCAGAGTCTCTATTTGGATGCTTCTAAACTTGCTTGAGAAGTTCTTAGCTGGGAAATGTCACTGGTTCTAGACTTTATAAAAACGCTGGTGTCATGCAGTCAAATGTATAGGAAATAGTAACAGCAAGAAAAAACAAATACTTGGCGCCTAAATACAGTTAGATGACTTTCAGTGCAGGAGACAGTTTGCATTTTAAACTTTACTTATCACCTGTGCCTTTTAATTTTTCATTAAGTTAATAGGCTTATCTTATTCACATTCATTTAACAATTGCTAGATTCTCACTATTCAGCTAGAGTTGGCACCAGCTGACATTGTAACAGTATACAGTGATGGGACTTCATTATGAAGCAGCCATTAAAGAGAAGATATGGTGACTTTGCTTTGCAACATAAAGGAAATGTCAGACTCCATTATTTTCTTTGAAGTGGTTATTAGTTTCAAGGTAGGACACGAATGTCGCATTTTGAAACAATGAGACAAACCATTTTTGACAACTCTACAAGTTCAAAGGACTTTTAAGCCACCATCAAATTTATTCATTTTAAGGGAAACTATTCAAAACTAGTTTTATTTACCTTTAAATGCAACTAGCATTGGATTTTTTTTGTGTGTCATGATTTACATAAAAGTCCATTATTGGTAGTTATTATAGGATTAGAACTCTTTATTGTTTTTGCTTTGTTTCCATCCCTTCTGAGTTAATCAGAATACACATACAATCGTGAAAGATAAGTCATTTAATGCTATGAAAATAGCAGTGTAGTCTTTATGCGCATACATATATTAAAGACTAATTTAATATTATCTGCAGTGTCTCTATTTTCTTTTTCTTAAGTAATTTTGTTATATTTCCATTGTTGGCCAAATACTATTAAAAGTGCTGAGGCATGATCAGGGTTATTTCTAGGTACCATAAACACCTATAGCTTAAAACAAAAGCAAAACTCAATGACCAATAGACCAAAATAGAACTGGGGTTATTTAAGACATACAGGGAGTGCAGAATTATTAGGCAAATGAGTATTTTGACCACATCATCCTCTTTATGCATGTTGTCTTACTCCAAGCTGTATAGGCTCGAAAGCCTACTACCAATTAAGCATATAAGGTTTTATGGACTGATGAAATGAGAGTGAGTCTTGATGGGCCAGATGGATGGGCCCGTGGCTGGATTGGTAAAGGGCAGAGAGCTCCAGTCCGACTCAGACGCCAGCAAGGTGGAGGTGGAGTACTGGTTTGGGCTGGTATCATCAAAGATGAGCTTGTGGGGCCTTTTCGGGTTGAGGATGGAGTCAAGCTCAACTCCCAGTCCTACTGCCAGTTCCTGGAAGACACCTTCTTCAAGCAGTGGTACAGGAAGAAGTCTGCATCCTTCAAGAAAAACATGATTTTCATGCAGGACAATGCTCCATCACACGCGTCCAAGTACTCCACAGCGTGGCTGGCAAGAAAGGGTATAAAAGAAGAAAATCTAATGACATGGCCTCCTTGTTCACCTGATCTGAACCCCATTGAGAACCTGTGGTCCATCATCAAATGTGAGATTTACAAGGAGGGAAAACAGTACACCTCTCTGAACAGTGTCTGGGAGGCTGTGGTTGCTGCTGCACGCAATGTTGATGGTGAACAGATCAAAACACTGACAGAATCCATGGATGGCAGGCTTTTGAGTGTCCTTGCAAAGAAAGGTGGCTATATTGGTCACTGATTTGTTTTTGTTTTGTTTTTGAATGTCAGAAATGTATATTTGTGAATGTTGAGATGTTATATTGGTTTCACTGGTAATAATAAATAATTGAAATGGGTATATATTTGTTTTTTGTTAAGTTGCCTAATAATTATGCACAGTAATAGTCACCTGCACACACAGATATCCCCTAACATAGCTAAAACTAAAAACAAACTAAAAACTACTTCCAAAAATATTCAGCTTTGATATTAATGAGTTTTTTGGGTTCATTGAGAACATGGTTGTTGTTCAATAATAAAATTAATCCTCAAAAATACAACTTGCCTAATAATTCTGCACTCCCTGTATTACAATCTCTCTATGCTATGCCTCTTTCTGTCTGCCCATAAACAGAATGCCACTTATGCTCTGCAGGATTTCAGAGAAAGGATAGATGAAAACAAGTACATGCTGCTCAACCATATATTCAATGTAAGATTGCAAGCTACCTAACAGAGGTGTGTAACAAACTTGTGTTCCCCAGCACCTCCTCCATGCAGTCACCTGGAGGTACCATCTTCTCTCCTTGATAGCCTTACGGAGCATTTTATTGTGATCTTTCTTTTGAAAATAAAAAAAAATAAAAAAAAAAAACAACAAATACAATATCAACATTTCTCCTCAAATGGTACTATTTTTACATATTCACGTTTGACATTTGTTAAGATGATGCCATCAATTTGACTTCACCAACTAAAAGGACTCAAGTGTAGAGGATCATTGTCATGGTTCCAGACATGAAATAGAAACAAAACGTATTGAAGGAAAGATGGAATTTGTAATAGGTACTTGGCAGCTACCTCCACTCATGCCTTAAAGGGACACTGTAGGTACCCAGACTACTTCAGCACATTGAAGTGGTCTGGGTGCTGTGCCCCTTTTGCACCTACTGCTGCAATGTAAAACATTGTAGTTGAGAACTGCAATGTTTACATTGCAGCTCTAAGTATGCCCTCAGTGGCTGTCTACCAGACAGCCACTAGAGGGCTTCCGGAATCGAAACGGACCTTTGGCACGTTATCTGACGCTGGACGTCCTCATGCATTGATTAATGCTTTCCTATGGGGAAATACTAATGCAAGGGCGCCCATTGCTGGGCATGTGCATTAGGTTTCCCCCCGCTGGCTGATGTTGGGGGGGGGCGAAGCCTGATCCAACGCCGAGGGACATTGGTGCTGGATTCAGGTAAGGGTTTTAAACCCAATAGCATCACAGGAGGGGGGGCACAAGGGAGGGGGGCAATGTAGGATTCTATAGTGCAAGGGAAATGGCTTTGTTTTCCTGGCACTATAGGATTCCTTTAAGGGCTGAAGCATGGCCCACAAATGGCAGAGGTTCTAAGAGAATAGAGGACAAATTCCTTAGACCAAAGCAGTAAATTGCAGTCATCCATGGGAACATGAAGACATGACAGGAGCCATGAACCTAGCAGTGCAAGAAGCATTACAACGTTTTTGAACGGGCAGCTAAAATGGGTTAAAATACATAAACCATTTATAATTCAACATCAGGGATAAATTATTCAGGGGAGTCAAGAATGGCAGGACAAAGAATTACAATGCAAACAAAAGAAACGGAAATGTAAAAAAATTTCACATACAAGCTTAAACGAGAGAAGTAGAAAGACTGAAATAGAATAGAAAACTATGATGAAAATAGAGCTCAGCTCTCTTATGAAGGGGATATGATGCAAACCTGCAAGAGAAAACATAATCCAAACACATTGCACCATTCCCAATAAAGGTGCAACAACATAAACTAAAGAGGGGCAAAAGCAATGCAAAAAACGGTAATGTCTAAGATGTGATGTGAAGCTGCATAAGCAGGCAGTGGAGGCTGGTCCATAGGCATAAATCTATTGGAGTAGCACAGGCTACTGATAAGTGTGCATTCCAAAAGAACTCTTAATTATGGTTGGAGATGCTGCTGAGAGGCAGCAAAACTAACTAGATGATGATTTTAGGTATTTTTATTAACCTCCCTGGCGGTCTGATTATGTCAGTATTTTTGAATGTTAAAGCAGTGCTTTGATTTGTATGTAAATTTGTTGTTCACATTGTAGGGTTGTAATTCTTAGGAATAACTCACTTAAATATGTCCAAACAAGAGTATAGTAGACATCTCAGGTATGATGTTTGAAACATGAAATCATAAATTATAATATAATAAATTATAAAAAATAATAATATAATTATAAATTTAATTAATAATGTAATCAAACCAAAAACACTGAAATTTGTCCAAACAAGGGTGCAATATTACTAGTCAGACACTGCATATTGGTTTAGTAAACATCCCGGGTATGAAAAATTTAGAAACATAGGACTGCACAAAGTCCGACGTCACAATAGGGACAATGGAAAATAGTTTCCTTTCTGATTTTCTTTCCATGTCATCTCACTTCAAGCAACAAACCACGCACATCCTTGTAGGTGCTGACTTTTTCTCGGTTGGTGGGATGTAGTCCATGAAGTGACGACCAGTCAGGCATTCCGGGTTGACAACGCCAAAAGCACGATGTCCATCTCTATTCACAGCCATTGATGGTGTTTGGTGCTTTACAAAGATACGTTCGGCAACTTTCCAAATTAAGTCAGAATGAAACACAGGCTTGTCACTTTTTTTTTTACAGGATGTAGGCATTCCACAAGCATTGCTCAAGAAGATGCCTGAAGATCTTCTTGTAGTACTTATTTTTTGTTTCCTCATTGCTGGGTAGAATGTCATTGCTTGGTCGGCTCTGTCGACACCTCCCATGGTGTTATTGTAGTCTATCACTACTTGTGGTTTCATGATTTCTTTCCCACCTTTCGTGCGTACCATAACATTGGAGGTATTATGAACTATACTCATTAGGCACACATCTCTCTTGTCACGCCATCGAGGTGCCATCATTTTACCTTTTTGCCAGGCAACCACTTCTCCAGTGTTTAACTTCTTATTGCCACACATTGGCGGCATGTCGCGCCGGTTAACCCTAACGGTTCCATAGGCATCTTTTTTCTTTTGCAGAAGAAACTCATTAAGTTCAGGAAACATATAAAAGTTGTCGGTTGTTACGCAATAGCACTGATTTACCAGTGGCCCAATGAGTGAAAGAACAGGAGATGTTGCTATTCCATAGTTGCTGTATTTTGGATCGAATGTTATTCCTTTTCCAGTGTAAATGACTGAATTCCAAAATGTAGCCAGTTGATGATTCGCATAACATGTAGGATTTTACGAGAAATAGTGCTCTCTTTGATGCAATGTATTGTACCCAGCTGAGCCTTCCCTTGTAGGCCATTAGACTTTCATCTATGATGATATCTATTTCTGGCACATAGCTCCGTTGGAAATTCTTTAGAATCATTTTAGATACTTCCCAAAGTTTCTTTAGTTTTGAAACAGGATGAGTAGTTTCATCAAATTCTTTGTTGTTTTTGAAGTGTAAATATTTAATGATCAGGGTAAATGTGTACTCTGACATGACCGTACCAAAGAATGGAGAGGCCAGTAATTTATTAGTTGTCCAATACCACTTCTGCATGGGTTTCCCCACCACTACTTGAAGTATTATTAGTCCCAGAAATTTCCAAATGTCATCTTTGGTCACTGGTTACCACTTTCTGCTTCTTCAAAACTTCAGATGCAGAGTGGCTAATTGTTGCTCTTTCTCTGTCTCAGTAACTATTTTTTTAATAACCTAATTGGTCAGAGATAATTGTAAGTATGCCAAGGGCTTGTTGTGTTCAACCTTTACTTTCATACCAGAAGCTCCAGCAAATGGGAATCTTGGGGCCGCTGCCTGATCCGTACCACAGTCAATAGAGCACCAAGTTCGCACATCACAGAATCGTTGCTGTCGTCACTTTTAGTGTCTGACTAATTTTCCCATGAATCAATTCTACAAGTGATTCTAATTCACTATCGCTGTTTTATAGCTGATCTAAAACCACTTTTGACCAAAAGGGGCGCTTTTTGGATGCCATGGACATTCTCAAGTTTCTAGGCAGAAAGAACGGTAAAAGCGCAAGCAGGACGCTGGACAAAGCACTGGGACAAAACTGAGGTTAAAAGGTTTGATATTGTAATGTAATCCTAACAGATTACACTGTATCACTATGTATGATATTTATTTGTACTTTTGTTTTGTTTTTTTGATTTCCAGGCGGCTCTTGCAGGGAAGGGGAACCCAGAAGACGGATGCTGGCATCGGGCGGAGGACACCAGGAGCTCGTAGGGACAAGGTAAGTAAAACTACAGTGTAATCCTGAGCGTGGCTTGGGGTTACACCCTTTGGTACTGAAAATTAACCCCGAGCCAAGCTCGGGATTACCGCCAGGGAGGTTAAAAATAAAAAACAATGCAAAGTTGTCTGTGTACAAAGACTTCTCTTCGCATCAGAGGTTGAGGACATTGTGTTAAATGGACAGAGTCCAATATGTCAGGGTGCAGAGATTTATTCTGTTCCACTGTCTTTAAATTTCACCAGCAACCACTACAAGAAAATAGTAATAATAATGTTGCCAGAAGCTGATAAGAAATTAGAATGATATCATTGGTGGAATAGAGATGAAGATATATCTGAGGCACATAGCTTTGAAGTGCAGGAATGCAGCATCACACTGAGGAAATCTGAGGATCCAAGGCATAAAGGAAAATATGTAATATAACAATCGTTGCAGACTAGATTGAGAGAAACTGTGTGTCTGTGTGTGTGTCTGCAAGTGTGTGTCTGTCAGTGAGTGACTGGCATAAGGGGGCGGTAAAATGCATCTTTGCCTAGGGCGGCAGAAATCTATGCACAGCACCGGCCCTGAGCACTACTCAGCTAAAATGCCTGTTCAATCTGTTCTGAGTACAGAAAGATTGTTGCGCTCGTCATTTTGTTGTATTAAACATTCACTCTAATTTTACACTATGTGAGCTTGGATCAGTTAAATTTCATATTATACCTAATATGCCACAGCTGGTAGGTCTGCACAAAAGGGGCCAGACAAATGGTCTAACATACATCCAAAAAATAGGAGCTGTGTGCACAGGATAGACATATGGTTGGGCCAGAATGGATGGTGACAATAGGTGGGCCTAGGAAAGGGGTAGGTCTGCCCAAAAAGTGATAAGGGCCAGTCTAAAAGGGTACATAACAGTCTGGCTTGAGTGCATGCCATTCAGGGCAAACCATGTCATGCTTCTGTCTTGAGGTTAATCCGTTTAGTGCAAATGTGTCTAATGTTGCCAGTATGGCAAGACACTAACCTGAATTCAGTACAGTTCTGCAAGATCTATGGATTGTGAGATCTAGGGCAGTTAGGAGATATGATGTAAATCCACTGTGAAAATGTAAATGTTGTGAGCATTGTATTAACCATATGAACACAAGAGGGAGTTAAGACAACTTGCAAAATCATGAATTTCAGTAACGTTTTGTTGCTGTCTACATCCTGGCTAGGACAAAATATTACTGGAATATGTAATAGTCATGTTAGTGATGCTTAAATGTTCAGCCCAAAAAAGTGTTTAAAGTTATTATTTGGCAATTTCTTCATAGCCATGCATGTTGCATTGGAATTATGTAAAGCAGGGGTTCCCCAGATGTTTTAAAACAACAGCTTCCAAGATGCTTTGTAATTCTAAAAGCATTCTAAAGGCGTGCTAATCGTTATGGGAATTGTAGTTCTTCAACATCTGTGGATCTACCTTTTGGACACCCCTGATGTTAAGTATGTGCACTAATGTAATAGCGGTCCATAATATTTTGTCCACTTTGCTGGCCCTGCCTGCTAGTGAGACATCTGCCAGTTTATCCCCTGTAAAATGACTGATCAGACTCCCATTTAAGAAAATGTTTGTTACGTAAATCAGTTTCAAACAATGCTCTCAATAAATTGATATTGTTTTTTGCTAACCGGGCTATGTACATTTAGGTATAATTTGCACTTGACAATCTAATAGTTTTACAGTGTGCAAATGCTTATCTTGGAATTGCATCTCAATATTCAAACTTTCAGTGGCACTTACTAAAAACACACTGGGAAGAACCATGTCATGCCAGCAGTCATTTGCAATCTGGCATTTCCTGAACAACTCCAGGAAAGTGGATTTTGTTCTTTGAAAAGTTAATGATGCTGAGAGCCCCTGTGCACAAAGAAAAGAAAATGTTAGCTTGAATTTTTTTAATATTTTTGTATAGATTGGATAGTTTTTTTTAAAGTGCTACATGCTGGTATATCAGAGCAGACATACTTCAGGCCAACAATGGATGCATGGCCATGTGTTATTGCTGGTGACATCAAGCAAAAGTGCCCACAAAGCAGAAATGTTGAACTTGTTGAACACAAACACTCTAATTAAGTAATTAATTAATATTAGATATACTGTATTTTCATGAAAGGTTTTCCTTTTTCTGCTTTATATTTAATTTAAAATAACCTTGGATAAAACCATTAAATTTCTCTGCAGTCTGACCCTCCTCCAGTGAGATATCCAAGCTTGATTATTTGTGCCCAAATGGATGCTTCTCGTGGAGAAACACTGAGGACTCACAGCACATGCAGAACAATTTCCACCAATCCAACGCGTCTCTGTGAGAAGCAGTGTATCCAATATTTCTCTATGAGAAGGATTGGAGTCACACAATGTTCGCCAAATAGATCCAGTTATTACATCTATTTCAATCAGGAGCCTATAGTGTATGTTTATTTTACAGCCATTGTTAGGGGTGGAGACTGCAAAATATTTGTTTGTTTTTTTTAAATCACAGCTTTTATTCAGGAACAAAATAAAATGACAAAATTTAACAGGGCTGATCCTAGGTCCTGAGTGCAGGAATTTTTTTAACACTCCCATGTGGGCATGGTCATTATACTAACCTCTTCACTTTGTAGATGTCCAGACATGCACGTTTCTATGGCAATGCCTACACTTCTCCTTCTATAAACTCCACCCATTTTTCTAATCAGACACACTGTGGCGAAATCAACCTCGCCCCTGGGCATTGGAGAAGCCTGCCTTCTGACTATGGCCCCTGGGAGACTTTGCCCTGTGTAAGCATTATTTGAGCTTATTGGATTTTGAAACACCTTTTCTGCCCCTTTGAATACATGAGAAGGTGTGCCCCTCCCCTGTTTCCTGTCTATTGTTCTCCATCAGGACGATGTCCCAGGGACACTGCCAGACTGGTTGGAACTTGTTGCTAAACTTTAACCCCATGGCGATTTGACTGTGTTTGTGGGATCTGAGCGCTGTTCGGATATAGTGAGCACTCAGATCCAAGCTATCTGGGGATAGGTTGAATGTGGGGTTTCTGTTCAGTATGATAAGAATTATGTATTTTTGCGTGTTTTTGCTGTTGTTTTAAATGGAGATATTTTCTGTATGCTGGAGATAATTGGCTTACCACACCCAAGCCATGCTTGCAGTCGGTCAAATAGGTCTTCCATCTATCTTTTGAAATACTGGGCCAATTTGTATGATTTTGACACATGTTTGTATTTGGAGTATGCTGATTCTGAAAAAGTTTTTATGTAAATGTGATGTATACTTTTAAAGTTATGAATATTGTGTAAAACTGTATTTTCCTGCCTGTGATAATTACGTTAGCCCATTGTGTTCAGTAATTGTATCAGACAGAGGGGAGGATTTCTGCTGGTATGAATGGGAGTGTTTAGTTGTGTTGTAATATATTGATTGGTTTGTTCTTCAAAACCCTGTGGGCAGTACTATGTGTGCAAAATGTGCATAAAAGCAGAGTGTTGGTTATTAAAGCTTCAGTTCTCTTTCACCCTCAATTTGGAGTCCTGTCTCTTATTGGGGGGGGATCTGCTACAAGGGATTGCTATGCTCTGCATATTCCCTTACTATAATCACTTCTAAGCTCATGTAAGAGCTTGTTCCTGTCTTGCTCTCTGAGGTGGTCTATGGTGGTTATGGTGTCAGCTGGAGTGCTTGGAGCCCTCAGAAAGCGCTAG